CTTCAGTACAACTCTTCCTCCTTTACATGTAGATGGACCTCCCTAAAGCACAGATCCAGTCATGTCGTTCCTGTCTTGAGAATATTCATTAGTTTGTCATGGCTCATTAATAGCCTGATGGCATCCAAATTCCTTATCCTGATCCTCAAAGCACCACCCAGTGATGCTTATAAACATGGCATGGAACTCAAAAAGAACAACAACAAAAAAAAATGAACAAAAGGACATTGGATGTGGCAAGAAGGAAGGAAAGTGAAATCTTCCCAGCAAAGTTTCAATAGTGCATCCCAGATGGGGTATCTGGAGTGGTGTTCAGGGGGAAACTGGAGAGAGTGAGATGCCAGTTTAGCAGTGAAAGAAAAGAAGGAAGTGGAAAAGTAGGTACAGCATCTGGAGATGTCAGGTGAAAGAATTCTCAAGGTTTGGAGCCTGAAAGAAAGGCCACGGAGAGACATGCTCTGAAGCAGAGGTTCTCAGTCAAGGCTGCCCACCAGAGCGCAACCAGTCATTGGCAGAACCAGAGTTTCAGCCTGTGCCTCTAATTTCCAGGGACAAAGGAAGACTGTGTGAAAACACAGATGCCAGCAGTAATGGGAAAAACAAGGAACCCAGAATCAGGAAAGGAGGGGCTTCAAATGGGAGGGGGTGGTGGAGAGGGCAAAATTATAGGACTTCATACTTTTGCTTAAAGTTAGTCTTCTCTGTCTTTGCAAAGGGTTGTTTTTAGCTTATTGAAAATGACATAGAAGTGTATTTATTTTCCTGGATCCAATGTAAATGAAGAAAGTGTTCTCTGAAATTTGTTCTCAGTCTTAGAATAGATTTATATACCAGCATGAAAAAAAAACCTAGAAAATACTTGCCCAATCACACGTGTTAGGCAGATGTGGCCCTCCACACACAGTGTCTATTGTCTATTTTTAACAGAGATTCTGGTCCTTCGGTCCTGTTTGGGGTGATGGGAAGGTAGAACCTCTTCTAGGAAGCCACACTGCTGTCCTGCTAGGAGAACTCTCTCAAAGCCTTTCACACAGAAGCCTTTCTGAGACCAGGAACACTGACAAGCACGGAGCCAACGGGAATCACGCATCTAATTAACTCTTATGCATTGCAACACGGAGCTGTCCCTTAAAACAGACCTGAAAATGATCCAGAGCTGATGTGACTTGGAAAATGTACAACCACCGTGAACTTGCTTGATCTTAAATGTAGCATTTTGTCAGCAGGGCTCAATTCCAAGGCAAAGAGGCAGCTGTGGTTGGAGGCAGGAAGTGAGGTTGATAAATGTTCATTGGAGAGGGCTATCCAGCTGGATGCCAGATGGTGGGAAAGGCCTTGTGTATGAGAAGCCAGATGAATTGGGGACACATCATTCTATGTGGACATTGATAGTGTAGGGAAGGAAGAGACGAAGAAAGGAGAAGACAGCCATGGGTTGTCAAGTATCCGTTTATTTTACTGAATCATTAATTCATCTTGAAAATCTAAAATTAGTCTTGAAATTCTCTCTGTCAAATATGGCAGCTAGAAAGATGAGGGGCAGGGGAGCCAACAGGTTCTGTCTGTGCGATGCCCATGTGATATCTTTGATTAAGGTCTCAAGATATCATTTTCTCAAGCTGATCACCAATGGGTTTGGGAAATCAGCTTCAAGACCAGATTTCAAGCTCAATAATACAGGAACTAATTCTGGGTAGACTTTACCTCACTGTGATCACTTCACTCCTCTCTATGCTTCTCAAGTCAATGTTTATTTGTCCCCATTTATTTAAGGGCAACAAGAAAGATAAATCAGATGGTTTAAAAGTTAATGCCCCTCCAAATTCCCTAGCTTCACACTGTCTCAACCTCTGTATTCCCACTGACTTCAAATCCTGTGCCACCCCACTCACATGATTTGGCAGCCCCATCTCAGACCTCACCATAATGGGAAAGTGCTTAATTTTAAAATCTCAAACTCTAAAATTTACCTTTACCAAAACTTCCTGTTTTTCTACGGCACAACTCAGTAAATCTATGCTTGGTAACTTCTTGCTCCTTGGGCCCACCCAAGTTCATGAGTCCATCACTCTGGCTCTAGGTGGTTCCTACCCTCACCCCTCTTTTCTGGTATATAATTCCCAGACTTGGGTTGCTAATGGGATCAGCTATTTAAATGTGGTCTCCAGTCCAGCAAAGTCATGTACTGCTGCATAAAATCTTTCCTGAGCTTCATGTTGATTCCCTGTTATACTCCTCACAGCCACCCCAAGATAACCTTTCTATTTTTCAAAAATTTACTATTGTTCAGTTAGAGTTGTCCTGTGTTTTTCCCCATTGCTCTCCCCTGCCCCATCCCCCACACTCTCACAGTCAATCTCTTCCCCCCCCATCATCAGTGCCCATGAGTCCTCTACTCACATTCCTTTGATTTCCCCTTCCCTTTCTTTCCCCTATTATCCCCCCCCACCCCCGTCCCCTCAGGTCACTGTCAGTTTGTTTTTTATTTCCAAGTCTTTGGTTTTATTTTGCTCATTTGTTTGTTTGATTACATAACCTTTCTTGACACCCTCAACTGGATATGATTTCTCTCTCTTCCAAACTCTCATAGCTTCCAGAAATGACTCAGATAATAGTTATTCATCTCCTTGTATTATTTCTCTTTGATGTCTTTTTAGGGTTTTCATTTCTTATCCATCTCCGTGTCCTAGTGCCTGGCATCAAATAGACGCTCAGTGACCATTTCCTGAACCAAATAGGACAACTCTTCTACAAAGGAACTTAAAACAAATAGCTTCATTGGGATATTAACTGCAAAAGTTCATAAGTAGTTTTATAGAGAAGCAAATTAAAATGTGCAATGAGAATATTAGTTTCCTGTTGCTGCATAATGAATCAGTACAAATATAGCAGCATGAAACAACAAACAGTTCTCTAGGTCAGAGGTCTGAACACATGTAACTGTGTTCTCTGATTACTGTCTTCCTCCTGAACAGGGTAAGGAAGGATATTGGGGTCATCAATCTCCACCTCCCTCTTCAAGCAAAATGTGGCTTTTTTTTGTAACTTATAAGGTAGAGAGGGAGGAGACTATAATGTTCCTTTTGTAGATGAAAAGTGATAGGTTGAAATTACTTGGAAAGAACTTGTTGCTCACTTCAAAGAGGGATTTTCTCACAATCAGAATTTTTTAATCTTTATCCAAAGATAAAAGGGACTGAAAAAAGTTGTGAACCCTCTAAATGAAGAGATGTGTTGAAGAAAAGTGTTCTTATTGCCTGGGCACAAAGGAGATCAGGATGCATTCAGTCTCTCTCAGATATTTGTGCCAAAATATTTGAAGCATTAATCACAGCTGAAGTGGCAATTGTGGGAAAAGGACTATCCTGCATAGACCACTGTGGGAGAGGTGTTAACAGTCCTTCCACTTGAGTGATTCAGGTGCACTTGCATGCCGTGTCCCTCATCTGATGCTTGTTTGCTAGGTCACCTTAGCAAGTGTGAGCTGTGGTCCTATTTCTTCATCTATAAGATGAGGGGCTCGTAGTCAAGCTGCCATGAAGACCCATGTTTGTGAATATAAACTGAAGAGTTACACATGCTAAATTCATTATCATCACTATCACCAGCCACATCCATCTACTGCATGCCTGTCTGTGTTAACTTCTCAGTTACTCTAGTCTGTGATGGCTCCCTCTACTGGTTAATAAAAGACTCAGGATTTCCCATTTTGGTGTTTCATCATTAAAAAAATACACATATATGAGATGTTGTTCCATTTTATTTGCCACTTAATATTAATTGGTTAATTTGGTCATCTTTGTAGCCATGTAGTATATTCCTGACAATCCATATATAACTCTAATCAGTACAAGTCAAGTCATATTTCAAAAGCATAAAGACAAATGGCTGTTTCAAGGAAATCTATGGTAAACCTCTTCATTTCTAATTCTGACCAAAGGGGCTGCTGTCCTCTCCTTTTCTTTAATTCTGCATTTGGCTCAGTCCTGTTCCAAGAACACTTATTCGTCCAATAAATGTCGTGTTGATGAATGATCTATCTGGACCATGTCATGGCACTACAGGTGGGGCAATTGCAATACTCCTGGCAGTAAGACCTGGAAACAGCCCAAGTGCCCATCAGTAGCTGAGTAGATTAAAAAGCTGTGGTATATTTACACAATGGAATACTAGGCAAGTGTAAAAAGGAACTATTATCCCTTGTGACGGCATGAATGAAACTGGAAACTATTATGCTAAATGAAATAAGCCAGTCAGAGAAAGACCAATACCATATGATTTCACTTATATGTGTAATCTAATGAACAAAATAAACTGACAAACAAAATAGGACCAGAGGCATGGATATATGGAACGGAGAGATCTCAGATGGGAGGGGAGAGGGCAGGACTGGAAAAGATTAGCCAAGGAACAAGTAGGCATATGACATGGCCCCTGACAACAATATGCTGAAGGCCAGTGGGGTGAGGGGGCTGGGTGGAGGGGGAAGCTCAGGGAGGCAGTGGGGACATCTGTAATAGTGTCAACAATTTTTTAAAAAGAGTCCTGGCCTACTGGTCAGTTCTAGCAGAATCTGAGATCCAAGACTGTGCAGGGCTATGAAAAAGTCAAAGAACAATAATGAAGAAGCTTGCCCGTTTCCTGACAGCCTTGGCCAGTACTCATATCTCTGGTTCTTGAAATAGTATGTGTTAGGTAGGGATGGGATATTGAGTGGTAGGGATGGAATATTGAGGGGAAGGGACACAGCACCACTACTAGTTGCAACAATACTTGTCAATTTCTTGGCCTATTAATGTATTGGATCACAAATGATGAAGAATGGACATGTTGAGCTTCCAGATACTTCTTGTGCATTTTTCTTATCCCTGTGCTAGTTGTGGGTTTCTAGAAGAAAAGTATAGAACTGTAATTCCACAATTAGAAGAGTCATGGGTCAATGTTTTAGTTGATACTTTTCCTACCCGGGACATCTGGAGTAAATTCCAAAATTAGTAACATCAAGAGAAGATTTTCTTCTTCCATCTGTTTAGGGCATCTTTGATTTCCTTGTTCCTCAGGCTGTAGATCAATGGATTTAGCATGGGGATTACAGTAGTGTATAAGAGTGATGCCAACTTGTTTTGGCTCCGGGAATCACCAGAATTAGGATACATATAAACAAAGATACCTGAGCCAAAGAAGAGGGTCACTGCAGTCAGGTGAGAAGCACAGGTGTTGAAGGCCTTGGACCTGCCTTCAGCTGAAGTGATCTTCAGAATGGTGGCAACGATATAACCATAGGATATCATAATAACCAGGACAGATGTGAGCCCAAAGATCACTGTGAGCACAGAAATCAGGACCTGGAAAAAAAAAGTGTCAGAGCAGGATAGGATTAGCAGTTGGGGTAAGTCACAAAAGAAATGGTTGATGATGTTTGGCCCACAGAAATGCAGCTGAAGTAAGGCACACAGTTGGATAGATGAGCCAAAGAATCCAGTTATGCAAGATCCTGCCACCATCTGCACACAGAGTGTGGGGGACATAATGGCTGTGTAGAGCAGAGGATTGCAAATGGCAACATAGCGATCATAAGCCATGGCTGCCAGGAGACAGCATTCAGTCAGACCCAGGCTAGAGAAGAAGAAGTATTGCATGGTGCACCCCACAAAGGAGATGAATGTATGGGTCTTGAAGAAGTCTGAGAGCATCCTGGGGGCAACAGTAGAAATATAGCAGATGTCTAGCAAGGACAGGTTACTCAGGAAAAAGTACATAGGTGTGTGCAGATGGGGATCCATCTTGATGAGCGTGATGAGGCCCACATTCCAGGACACTGTTATCAGGTAGATCCCTAGGAATATTGAAAAGAGGACAAATGTGAGCTTTGGAAATTCAGAGAATCCCAAGAGAATGAACTTCGTGATCATGGTACTGTTCCTTCTCCCAGTCATTGCATTGATGATTCTAGGATCTGTAAGGAGAGAAGAGAATGAATCTCTTTAAGTCAGCTGTTAATTCAGTTTCTATTGAAACAAACCACCTTCTACCCACACTGAGCACAAAATCAAGAAAAATATTGAGTCATTTTAGATGAACTAACCTTGGTTAACTTTGCTCCTAAATAACTATAATGGTTTTGTGCATCAATTTTCCCACATATAAAAGAGGATAATTACACTTTTCATTATTAACCCACTGGGCTCTTAAAGTATAAAAGAAAGTATATTAACATTTAGAACACCGTTCTCAAAAAATGCTTTGGAAGTTTTAGGATGTTATCAGTGGAGCTATAACTCCTGTGTATAGCTCAGTGACTGAGGCCTTATAGCTACTTTCGAACTGTGGCTCTGCTCTCTGTGAGCTTTTTGACTCTAAACAGGTTGTCTAAGATCTTTCTGCCTGTTACTTTATCTTTAAAATAGGGATGATAATAATAGTAGAACCTATTTCATAGGGTTCCCTTGAGGTTAAATTAGTTCTATTATGTACAGTGCCTGCCATGCATATAGTATTATATGAAGTAGTGTCACTAGGAGATATCTTTCTAATCCAATTGTGAAGTACTCTGTTGGTGTGTGAAAAACTTTTAAAGTTTAAATATTAAAGAGTTGGTCATACAGATAACATTCTCAGATTACAGTGTGATTAAGTTATACATCAATAGCAAATAGGTAATTTAAAAACATCATAATTGGAAATGATTTACAATATGTATTCTAAAGTATTCACAGGTCACATAATAAATTATAACAGAAATTATAAAATATTTAACTTAAATATAGTGGAGCATACTATTTATCAAATTTTATGGATTTTTAAATTGAAATGTAATTGACATATAAACATTGTATAAGTTTAAGGTATACAATGTGTTGATTTGATACATTTATATATTGTAATAAGATTTTCATCATAGGTTTAGCTAACACTTCTATCACACTATATAATTATCATTTCTTTATTTCTGAGAACACTTAACAAATCTTGTAGATTTAACTAAAAATTTATATAGAGAGATAATAGTTGTCTTAAATGCATATAAAAGATTAAAAAAACAAATGACCTGATTGTAATTCAGAGACAGGAAAGAACAGATAGTTTTTAAATTATGTATAACTTCAAAATTATACAAGAAAACCAAAGTTGATTCTTGATATATCTGATGACACCAAGCCAAAACAACAACAAAAATTAAAACAATGGAAAAGGAGATATAGCTCTAGATCCTGGACATGTTATAAAGGTAATAAGAGGATACTCTAAACAATTTAGTGTCAATAAATTTTTAAATTTATTTAAAATGTACAAATTTCTAGGAAAATGTAAATTGCCAAAACTGACTAATATAAGAATAGAAAATCTGGATATTCTATAAACACTAAAAAAATTAAATCAGTAATAAAAATCTTCCTGTGCAGAAAACTATAGGCCCAAAATATTTTATCAGCAAGTTGAACTGAGAATTTAAGGAAAGCAATAATTTTAATATACATAAAATTTTCAGGGTATGGAAATTTGGAATGACTTCCAACTGTTTTTGTGGGACTATGACTTAATACCAAAAAGGGAATAATAAAGGAATATTATAACCATATTCACTTATGAACTTAATAGTTAGAAACATCTTAAACATCTTAAATGTTTAACTATTCTAGCTATTTTGGCAAACTGAACCTGACAGTATATAAAAATAATTCAACATTATAAATAAGTTGGATTTATTCCAGAAAAGCAAGGTTGGTTTAATACTAGAAAAGCAGTTAATGTAATTTGTCAAATTAAGAAATTAAAGAAGGAAGCAATATAATCACCTAAATAGATAAAAGTAAAAAATTCATTTATGATTTCTTTAAAAATAACAAAAAAGTCAAATATTTTAGCTTTGTGACAAATATGTTACAACTAATCTCATTTAATTACATCTTTAATGGTAAAATATTAAAAGCATTATCCTAAGGGTCAAAACAAAGAAAACATTTCTTTATCTTTAAACTAGCTTTGTGTAAAAAAAAAACAAGAAAAAAACTTACCATCACATATTTTATTATTCTTTTCCTTAAAGAGTTTAGTTAGTACATCAAAAAAATTTTTTTAAAAGACAAGAGTTGTTGGTGAAGATCAAGAAAAGGGAACCTTTGTACACTGTTGGTGGGAATGTGAAATGGTGCAGCCGCTGTGGAAAATAATATGAAAGTTCCTCAAAAAAATTAAAAGTGCAGCTACTATATGATCCAGCAATTCTGCTTCTGAATTCATATCCAAAGAAAATAAAAACAGGGTTTCAAAGAGACACTTTTGCACTCCCATGTTCATTGCAGCATTGTTCACAATAACCACAATTTAGAAGCAACCTAAACATCCATCAACAGATGAGTGGAGAAAGAAAATGTGGTGTATACATACAATGGTTTATTATTCTGTCATAGAAATAAAGGAAATTCTGACATTTGGGACAACATTGATGAACCTGGAGAATATTAGACTAAGCGAAATAAGTCAGTCATAGCAGGACAAAGAGCATATGACTCCACACACATGAGGCATCTAAAGTAGCTGAACACATGGAAACAGAGGGCAGAATGGTGGGTGCCAGGGATGGAGAGTGGAGAGCAATGAGGAGCTGTTGTTCAATGAGTATATAGTTCCAGTTATGCAAGATAAATGAGTTCCAGAGACCTGCTCTACAACATTGTGCCTATAGTTAACAGTACTGTGTTGTACACTTGAAAATGTATCAAGAGGATACGTCTCATATTAAGTGTTCTTACTGCAACAAAAAAAATTTATTTTAAAAATTTAAAAAAGATTCAGATACAACAATCTAGCTGTCTTCTATTAAGCAGCCATTCATGAGATTTTCAAAACTAAAACAATGCTCCCTTTTCATGAAATATTTTTGTTTTGGAAAATATAGTCATTGACTTGGTGTAGTTATCTTACTGAAATGTTTCCTTATGTTAATACATAATCAGTGAAGTAAATAAACAGCAGAGAACCTGTAAGTGATAATTGGCCAGCGTCTATCAGTATTGTTTGCTGATGAGAGTTACGCATAAGCATTATGGCTATCTTACTACCACATAGCCATGCCCAGAATGGCTATGCCCATAATGTAACTGAATAATTCATGGGTACTCACATAGGAAATGGCAATTTCTAGAATTCTGTGCAGAGAGAGAAAATGAAAGATAGACAAAGCAGTGGTGTGAGCCCCCTGCATTTTGTCTATTATCCTGCATCTGCTCAAGTTACCCAAATTCATCCAGATGAACTCTTCAATGTCTTGCATCTCTATACTGTTGTAATATGGGGGCAGAGGATGGAATTCCCTGCATGTTTCTCTCTAGTCTTTCTGCAACTCACTCACCCCGCCCTGAAAATTATCCCTCTAAAACAGAGCTTCTTAACCATGGCTGGACATTAGAATCATCTAGAGCACTTTAGAAAAACACATGGATAAGGCTGCATCTCAAGCCAATTACATCAGCATCTCTGGGGCTGAGAGCCAGGCCTTAGAATATTTGGTAAAAGTGCACAAGTGTAGTCACACTTCAGTGTGCATACGAATCACCCTAAGGGCTTATTAATACACAGGTTGCTGGGCCCTACTTCCAAGAGTTTCTGACATAATAGGTCTGGAGTGGAATCTAAGTTTGCATTTCTAACAAGTTCTCAGGTGATGCTGATACTGCTGGTCCCAACAGTGCACTTGGAGAACCATTGCTCTATAGAATAAATGAGTTAAGTGAGATTTCATTACTAGAGTATAAACAACTGTTTTGGAAAGTCAACAGAATGGTTGGATGTAGCTCACATATTCTAGAGGAGGAACACACTCTTGTGGTATTGAAGGAATACCACAGTCTTTGATAGAACTTAAGATTAAGGTAATGCTTCTCACTCATAATGTTATCATTTATTTCTATTAGCTCTTTAAAATAGGTAGAACCATGATGGATTTTCTTCATGTTAGAAAGAAATCACACTGGTAGGGCTAAATGAGAATTTCAAAAGATTGTTTCATTCATTGAACTAGTATCATCTCATTTGAGGGGAGGAGGAGTGCGTGTGCTTAAAAAGTCTTCTATATTAGAACGAGAAGCAGAATTTGAGTTTCTCTAAGCTAATAGTTTCTGTTAAAGTGGGGAAAAAATAGTCAGTGTGTCTTGGGCATTACTATTTGTCCTTATGACTTCTGCTGAACCAGCCTAAGGGGCCATGGGATCCAGAAATCCTGAGACAATAAAAATGTTGGTAACTAAAGATGTTGCTTTCAGTAAAGTTGATTTACTGTAAGCCTATCATGTAGAAAATGTGTTGTTGTGATTTGTATAGTTTATAGTGACATATTAGAAACTATTGCCCAATGTAAACTTCTTAAACTAGCAAAGGAAAGGATGTCTTCTTATATTTAATAGTTATTTTCTCTTTATTACTCCTTGAAATTAGGAAGGAAGGAAGGAGAAAAGAGAGGAGAATAGAAGGAAGAAGGAAAGAAGTCCGTATTTAAAATTCAAAGAACAAAATAACCCACTTACAAAGGCAGGGCATGCAGAACAACAATGAGCAACATTTACTTCATTGAGTCTTGCAGTTTGTGATATTTCAGGATTCTGTAGAGGATGGGCTAGTTCACTTGCATATTTTACCATTTAACTTCTAACTATACCCTTAATGAATTTAGTCAGATACAAGAAGCTACAACATGTGAATTAATTGTTGAATTTTACTGAAATCCTCAGGCAATATGACATGAGGTATGACATGATTTTATCATTAAAAGGTTTGCATCTGACATGCTTTATTTTTTAATTTAATTGTTTATTCTATTACAGCTGTCCCAATTTTTTCCCTTTTACCCTGATCCTCCTAGCCCACCCTTGTCACCCACAGTCAATCCCCTCTCTCTTATCCATGTCCAGGAGTCATTCATACATGTTCTTCCCCTTCC